AAGGCATTGCTCCTCACTCTTCATACTTACACCATTTATACCATTTGATGTACAAGAAGGCTGCAAAAAATTAACACAAACTTATCATCTGGGCTTGACGAACATCAATCATGTGCATTTTCAGTCACTTTTTGTCTAGTTTTCCAAACACCAATATAATGAAGGCATTGCTCCTCACTCTTCATACTTACACCATTTATACCATTTGATGTACAAGAAGGCTGCAAAAAATTAACACAAACTTATCATCTGGGCTTGACGAACATCAATCATGTGCATTTTCAGTCACTTTTTGTCTAGTTTTCCAAACACCAATATAATGAAGGTGTGATATATGCCTACTTGCGAAAGCGTTGTCATAGAAAATAGGACATTAATTTTATTTAGTAAAAAGGGATCAATTAARTAGACAAAAGAAGATCACTGAGTCTGAACGCTCTCTTTTGTCTTGTTTTAATTTATTCCTTTTTTACTAAACAACGTTTATGCAAGTAGGTGTATATTAAAGTTATAAAAACATTTGTAGATAAATGTGATCCAAGATGTGAAAGGTTTAGGAATGGAGAGTGTCAGTCTGATGGTAGCTGTATGTGTTGGTGGGGATGGACTGGACCTAATGCTGTTTATGTAACAAAAGGGCTGATTACTAGGATTAAGGTAAACTAAAAAATCTCATTTTAGCCAATCTTTTCATTTTCAAGCAGTTCAATTGCTTATTTTGTACTTTACTTTTTTTGATATTAATATATTAAAGGCCCAGTTTGCACCATTATGCTTTGATTTACATCAAAATACTTCTAGTATCCAAATACCACCATAAAAGGAATGTCAGATGGTTGAAAACTCTGTTTAAAGTGCTTAGAAAAATGAGATGCTCAAAGATTCGAAACACTCAAGTACAATTTATAGACTATCAGTAAACTGAAAATGGACGGCTCCCTCACATCCCCCAAACCATAATGGTGCACACTGGGCCTTTAAAGTATAAATCCATCTATTGTTTTATCTGTCTTCCCATCCATTTGTTGTCGTTCTTGCTGTTAATTCAATAATGATTGTTTTTTAGGCTGACTATTGTGATATGTCCTGTCATTACTCCAATCAGTTTATCAATCCAAAATGTGCAAAGSAAACTAGACCAAGTAACAGTAAGAGAAAAGGTCCATCTATCCAGTTTCTCCCATTTCTTTGCTTGATTTCATACTGTATGTACACTCAGCACTTGCGATAATGGATACCCTTGGAACTTGTGCCTGCTCTCTTGTGTTTTGTAAATTTTAAATCCCCACCTGCATCCACGAACCTTTTGTTTCTTTTTACGATGATCTCTTGTTGAAAGGTGCTTCCTGGTTGGTTCAAATGTTAAAGATGGTAAAGTTTGTATACAAGAAAATCGTGCAAATGTTCTTGGGTGTGTGTGGATCTTAAATGCTTGACACTCAGCGGAAATTCACCCAAACATGTAGTATTTAACTTATGGCGGATTTCGTATGAGTGGGACACCGTTACACAATTTTGGTGAATCAATGGGGCACTAGAATTTGGTTACAGTACGATTACAGTCACAATACAATACCGTCCGTTTCCCACTCATACGAAATCCGCTCTAGTGCCCAGTGTCATCACTAATTTTCAGAGAGACTATAAACTGTACTACATGTACATGTACGATAAATTCTCTTCAGTGAATTGTTATAGARGACAATCTGCTCAAATTTATTGCTTTCTTATTCATAGGTATTTCACAATCTTGTGATACCAGATGTGAAGAGATTCCAGGTCAAGGAGTGTGTCAATCTGATGGGCGTTGTCTTTGCTGGTGGGGTTGGACTGGGCCTAATGCAACATATATTGTCAATGGAAACCTGACAAATAGAATTAAGGTATGGCATACAATTGAATTTTGTACAAACACAAGGGAATGAGTAGATTAGGAATTCCTTCTTTACTTCTTTTAACCTCCTTTTCTTACCTCCTTGTCCRTATCAAGGAGGACTAGTACCCCCTCTTTYCACTCCTTTTAGGCCTCTTAACATGCTTCCCCTTTTTCTTTTTCCTTTCTCGTCTTCCTTTTCATCTCAGTTTTCCCTCTTTATTTTCTCTTTTTCTTCAACATCTAAAGTTCCATTTGTTTAGGRTAACATGTGTTGCTTGTTCGTGTTTAGGCTGATTATTGTACAGAAAGCTGTCACTACACACATGACTATTTGAATGTTTCCTGTGCAAGTATTCCTGAACCAAGAGAATGTAGTGTACCAGCAAATACATCATCACCATTACCATGTAATCCTCAATGTGGTGCCGGTAAGATGGTTTAACCTTTCTTGTCCATATCAAGAGACACTAGGCAACAGAGAACAATCTGAAAGTGTCATACATGTATTTCAAAAACATTTTTGAGAGAATGGCAAACAGTGATTGACAAAAAGAGGTTGTATGACTAGTGAAAAGGTCGATGAGACTGGAATGCTTTTGGCATACAAAGTTTCACTTGATGGGTTCACCYTAAGTGTAAATGAAGACTAATGTTTACCATATACATCATTACACATACAGCTTACAGCTTAAATCAGATATTAGCAAAACTTATGTCCTGTTTTTTTTTTGCCAGTGCAATCTCCATTTGACAATTGAAATAGTAATATGTTTGAGATCTTTGTTTAGATATGGAAATTATATTCGGTATTTACGGAAAGAAAGCAAGTTAACTCTTTAAATGCATTTCTATTGAGCCAAACACTCCCTCATTCTGCTTGACAACACCAGGAACTGATTTAATCAGTTGAGATTTTAAGAAGCAAAGAGCTAGAAAAATATACAGTTATAAAAAATAAAAAAAATAACTCAGAAATAAATAACCGTTTTTGACCTTTGCTCTGTATTGTTATGCTGGCTAAAAAATTATACTAATGTGTACCACTACATGTTGATTAGGAAAAGAAAACAAATAAGGTTTCATGTTRTATATACGATGCAATGTTTGTTTACAGGTGTTTACCATGGACAGTGTCTCAGCAATGGACGTTGTCTATGCTGGTGGGGATGGACTGGACCCAACTCTTGTTTTGTGGMTGGTGGAGACTAYAATAATAGAATCATTGTGAGTAATWCATTAAAATAATTACCATCCTTACGATACAGTACATCCTTTTTGGTAATAAATCATCATAATTATCATCCTTTTAGTAATACATTGGCATAATTAAGACGCTTTGGGTTATAAGTTATCATAATTATTGTCGTTTTTGGTCATGTATTAGCATAATTASATTGMAATATTTCCAGGGAATTTGTTATTKTCTTTATGTCTGTACAACTGAACAACATTAATGGGATTGACTGTTTGTTTGTTTTTCAGGCTGAATACTGCAATGTTGCTTGTCACTACACTCATGATTACAGAAACAACTCATGTACCTACAAGCAAAATGGTTAGTATTGGTACAGCTGTAGGTCTCAATAGAACTCTAAAGCTTTTACGTCATGTACCGTATACGCAATGCATTGTAGGATGTGTTTGGGACAGAACATGGCGGATTTCTTTTGCTTTCTCTAGAAACTGATCCCAAAATTCATTGCAAATGAAGTAGTGACGTAAAAGGTTCAAATGTCTATTCTCTCTACCCATCTCTGATCAAGAAATGCGCTTAGTCACGAGATAGTCTTACCCTTTACCCATCTCCTGCTGTCAATGAAGTGTCGTGGTGTGAAAGATATCACGAGCGTTCCTCGTACTGAGATATTTTGCGAATGAGCGTATTAGAGCGAAAACTATACTGTTCTTTTTTCCTTTTTTTATTGTAAATCAAAGAAGACGTGATTTTCTGTTTACACATTTTAGATTTCACTGAACCAACAGCTCAGGTTCAATGGTCAGACAATTCTGATGATTACCCGTCTGTCTTACCTAACGAGACAAGTCGACCTTTWATGRTTGAAAAAAACACAGACATTGTTGATGACTCTACTAAAGCAACGGTAGAACTTGCCAAAACAGACCAGGCTAYCATAACYGAACCGYCTTTCACAATGRAACAGTCTTCTACAGTGGAACMACMTAYCACAACAGGACRRCCTATCWCAACAGSACAGCCTATCACAACAACACACCTTACGACAACACAAGAAATGAAGGAACAATCGCTAACGGTAGAACATCAAAACACAACAGAACAGCCTGCAACAACTAAACATGTTAGTACGACAGAATTATTGCAAGCAGTCGAACAGSCTGTCACAACTGAGTACCTTACCGAAACAAAACAGAGTCCGACCAGGGAAATATTATCGATATCAGAACAACTTACTACACCAAGCGCATCAGAACAGCTTACCACGACAGGTCGACAACCTACCACATCTGAACGCCTACCTATCATAACAGAGCACGAACCGACCGCAACAGAACAACCTACAACAACAGAACAACCTACCACAACAGAAGAAACTGCCACGACAGAAAAATCTACAATTACAGAACAACAACCTACCACAACAGAACAACCTGACGCAACAGAACAACCTGACGCAACAGAACAACCTGACGCAACAGAACAACCTGACGCAACAGAACAACCTGACGCAACAGAACAACCTGACGCAACAGAACAACCTGACGCAACAGAACAACCTGACGCAACAGAACAACCTGACGCAACAGAACAACCTGACGCAACAGAACAACCTGACGCAACAGAACAA